AATAAAGACAGTTGTTAAAACGCTGTACTCAACAAGTGAGACAGTGTGACCCAACCTATTCTGTGAAGAACAATTCTTGGCTGCATCCTGCCAATGGCGTCCAGTAGTAGAAGTTGTCGCTTGTGAATGCATATGCAGTGGTTTTAAATGCTCCTGAAATTAAGTGTTGCTTGACGTGACGTCACTGAAGGCCTAAGGTTGAAATGCACGGCCCGCCACTGAGAAATGTAAATACATTTTCACATACGTTTGGAAATCTTGGCAACTTCAACTGACTCATCAAACCATAAAAACTATATATTAGAACTGTCAAACGATTAAAATATTTAATCTAATTAAAAACGCAACAGTCATAATTCACTCAAATGAACAAAAAAATTTATCGTGATTACTCACATTTTTATCGTTTCTGAATTTCCTTTTATATTTTTTGTCCTATTTTTTTTCCCCGTTTTAATGCTCTCATCAACATGTAATCATGGATCCGTTTTCTTTGTACAAAATGCAAATATTTATTGAAACAGCAATTTCAATTTGAAATTTTACATTAACATTTTTCATTTGGAGCAGTTATTCACACTTGGAGCACATAATCTCTCACACAATATAACTGTCATCAATAACAGTGGAAACAAACATTTTGTCACTTTTAAAAAGTTGCCAGATGGTTTCACTGACAAGACCAAAGTTACCTCGATGTTTTGCAGTCGTAAACTGAGCTATCATCATAGCACGTCGAGTCTGAAATGCCACTTACTGGCCAAGCACACAGCTGATGTGAGTACTCCGCCCCCTTGTCTAAGACAGACAGCTATGGATAATTTCAAAGCGAAGAAAATGGATAACGTGACGAAGAACAAATTTCCTGAAGCCATCGCTAAATGTATGGCTACTGCATGCAAGCCTGAAAACATTGTCCACAGCTGAAATCATTCGCATTGCACTGAACGACTCCACCCCGACTTGCCAGCGAGAGTCTCCATGACAAGCTATGTACAGAAATTGTACATAGCGGAGAAAGCTAAGGTACACCAAGCGGGAGAAGACACTGTTTCGGGAGAGAAATAAGAGACTAGGTTGATGAGCCTCTGGTGAATGAAGAGCAGGTAGCCTGTTGAGTTCAACGTATGCCAATGACACGATTGTTACTTGTTTGAAACTATTTTGTGTGGAACGTTACCGTGTTCCGTGTCCATATAAATAAAGAGGGTGGAGCTTCTCTGTGTTCGTCTGACAGTGACGGTGCGCTGAGGCACGTCGAGAGTTCAGTGGTGCAGTGGTAGCGACCACACTGAAAATAAAACGTCTCCAGCGTTGTGCCTCGAACCAAGTGTAGTCATCCGAAATGATGTCAACACAAAACCATAGAGTGACTTCCGCGCAAGAAGGACCAACAGAATCAACATAGCCTGACTGCTGTGTTCAAAGCAAACTTGAGAAAAACGAAGTATGCAACCATTACTTAAATCAGGGGTGTCCAAAGTCGGTCCTCATGGGCTGCTGTCTTGCCTGTTTTTCAGCTCTCCCAAGAGCAACACACCTGATTCAAATAATCAGGAATGTGCTAATGCTGCTTCAGAGCTGGCTGATGAGCTGATCATCTGAATCAGGTGTGTTGGAGCCGGGAGAGCTGGAAAACAGGCAGGACAGTGGCCCTCCAGGCCCGGAGCTGGACATGCCTGGCTTAAATCCACTATAGGCTGAGTACTAGTTTACCTTAGATGTGTACTTTATAATTTTATATTGCTCTGTTTTGATTCCCTAAAAAGAGCTGTTCAAGGAGCTGTTGTGTGACAAAATATTTTTTTCACTGTTGTTGATAGACAGTAATATTGTGTGAGAGATTGTGTGAATAACTGCTCCAAGTGAAAAATGTTCATGTAAAATTGAAAATCGAAATTGTTGTTTCAGTAAAAATGAGCATTTTGCACAGAAAAAACTGATCCATGATTCTATGTTGATGAGAGCATTAAAACGGGAAAAAGTAGGACAAAAAAATATACAAAAAGGAAATTTAGAAACGATAAAAACGTGTGAGTAATTATTAGTTATTATGAGTTAATTATGACAGCTGCGTTTTTAATCACAATTAAATATTTTAATCGTTTGACAGCTCTAATATATATCTATCTATCTATCTATCTATCTATCTATCTATCTATATATATATATTATGTTTGTTTTTAACATGTGCATGAAGCATTGAAGTGTTACTTCACACACAAATTGTAAACACGTTTGACTGTAAAGACTACATATCAACTGCTTCACTCATTTGTTACTTTCATTAATTGAACATTTTTCTGGGCTTTCACAACATCGAATTTGACATGCTCTATCTAATTCCCAAGTATTTACCAGAGATGAAGTGAGCACTGCAAAGACGAGCATTCTTAATTGCCTCGTCAGTCCAATTCTCAGTCGTAAAGCTTGTAGCCACAACTTTCGCCCAGTTTTTCTGGAAGTGGTGTTTACCAACAGGAATTCTATAAAAGACGAGCTCTCTGTGTGTGCACTTTCTATTCTGACAACCCACAGCACAGCATGAGGACGGCATGATTTTGTTCTGTCAAGTGTGTTTTCTGCCTCGTAGTTGCGCACGCAGCCAGATTTTATGTATGTATACGTCACATAAAACTGGTCTATTGGCTGGCAACCAGTTCAGGATGTGCCCCGCCTACTGCCAGAAGACAGCTGGGATAGGCTCCAGCACGCCCTGCGACCCTTGTGAGGACAAGTGGATCAAAAAATAGCCGGATGGATGGATTATTAGTGGATGCAAGATCATCTGTAAAATATATTATCCCGATTGCCCTCTTTTTTTAAGAGCAGCATTTATTATTGATTTGTCAGAATGTACTCAGACATCCACACAATAACTCATATAAGGGATTAAGAAACAACTGAAGAACAGCTTTAAGAAATTCTGGTTAAAAAATATTTTTTACGATATGTAATAATCCTGTGGCGTTGGATCATTTTGTTTCGACCATTTGGCTATCATCCGCAAAAAAGCGGATGATTTGTGTAGCTTCGATACCAACAATGATGTTAAACCAACCGCAAATCAATGCTCGCTAATTTACTAGCTTGTACCATGTAGCGAGAATATCCACTTGTTTATATAATTGCGAGTGAAGTTGAATTAGTGCTAACCGGATACGTTTCACCAGTCAGGCAACTGTGGTTTTAGTTGGATTACAAGTTTAGTTCAAGCGGACAGAGGTAAGAGCTAATCGAGCAGCTGCAAGACAACTATAGGAAACACAAATTATCTGGGCAGATGCAAACTAAAACATATAGAAACAGCTAATCTCAATAAAATAAAATAATATGCCACACATAATTAAAAACAACTTCAACCTACAATTGTCCTGACTAAAACTGGACTAAAAGGTTGACAGTTTTTGAAGACCAAAACTAGCTGAATAAAATTATATTTTCGCGGACTAAAATAAAGACTGGAATGCTTGACTTATACTTGAATAAAAATTGACTAAATAAAAAATGTGGTTGACTAGTTATGATAGAAACTCGTGATTGAAACTGGACTAAAACAGAGACCAAGCCTATTCCAAAATAAAAGACATTTTGTCCATGATGGGTCATATTATCTAAACTGTATTCCATAAATCCTGCAAGCGTTTTTAAACGTATATGCACTTCTGTAAATCCACATGATGTCTGTTCGGATTTCTTGAAATGATTTGATTGGAACTTTCCTTTTCTATCAGTATATTTTTTTATTTGACAGTGTTTTTATTTTAATATTTTGTGGTTGTTTTCGATTGAACTGATTTTGCAGCGCGAGGAGGCCGAGTAATGGCCATCGGCCATTTTGTAATAGTACTTTTAACCCTGGAGGACCCAAGAACCCTTTTCTTTGGAAAATGATGAATTATACATTAAGTAGCTCCTTCAGCCAGAGACTGTTACACCCGCGCTGCAAGAAGGAGAGATACTGCCGCTCGTTCCTACCGACTGCTGTCAGGCTGCTGAATAAACATCCGTGGAAAACCTGTGTCCATTGTAATTAGCACAGCCACCTTACGCTGTGTTTTCTATGCTATTGCTAATTTATTATATATATTCTACAAATATATTGCTAATGCTATATTTTATATTGCACTTTTATTGAACTGTGTACAGTTCTTTTCAGAAACATTTATTTTGGGAAATGAAACACTTTGTTTCCCCTCCCCCCAAAAAAATTTTGCTGCTGTAGACTACAAATTTGTGGGACAAATAAAGGTTATCTTATTTTAAATGACTGCTATATGTTCACTGAACACCAAGATATGTTTTTTTTTTTAAATATTCAATGCTTTAATCCTAATTTAGGATTAGGGCCAAATTTGACCTTTTGGGATTTAAGGGGCCCTGCGATTGGCTGGCAACCAGTTCAGGGTGTCCCCCGCCTACTGCCTGAAGACAGCTGGGATAGGCTCCAGCACGCCCGCAACCCTTGTGAGGATAAACGGATCAGAAAATGGATGGGATTTAAGGGTAGCATTTGAGTAGCAGAATTTATAGGTGCCATATGAGACACCGTGGGTTCTCCCGGGTTAAAATTTCTACTTTGTTATTATTTTATCCAAATTTGTATGTATCACCCCTCTTCTAGCTGGGATAGGCTCCATAAGGTCAGCGAAAATCATGAGGTTAAGTGTTTGGGAGAATGATTGATATTAAATCACACGAGACTGGATGTTGACGATGTCACATAACGCAATTCAATGATCACGCCATCGAAAATAAACGTGGATATGATATAAAATAGCTCGCACACAATACTGTCCAAGATCGAGAAGTGACCAAACCTGCTTGGCGTGAGCCAACTCGAGTCTTCCTGAAAACAGAGTCGTTGTCGTCTTTTGCACCACAAAGTTCCTCCTCGTATTCGACCATGTTTCTTGCACACATTTTCACACGACAGTTACGACACTTAACGCTCACAGCTGATCCCTGCTAAGCGACGAAACGCGACTCTTTGCTAGCGACTACCACACTAAGCTAAATCGGCCAAGTGAGGCCCAGATGCTTGAACGAGTGATGTGATAGTCCCAAAAGTATCAATGGGTGTCCTGCGTTGAGGCTTTTGAGTTTTAGATGTAATACAAGAATACAGATTCGTTCTTTTAATTGTTATTATTGTTATTGATGAAGCTCCTGTCGTCGCTTTTCGTGTAGCGGTCAAGCTCCAGCAGACAATGTACGGCGAATCCTTTAGGACAAATTCGCTGTGGACATTTTGAACCGCCTAAAAATTATATATTATGATACTTTTTTTTAAAAACCCATAGCAATAATATGACTTTTGATAAATTATTTCTGGCATTTTACTTTTATACACAGCCAGTAAGCATCGTAATTATTTTGGGGTCGATGTCAATTCGCACATACAAAAAAAAAAGTGTTCACTGGCATTCCGTAAATTTGCATCGTACTTTACGTCAAATTTTAGTGTCAGATTAAATCTGTCTCAGTGCTCATTGGAGCAATTATGTTTTGAAGATACTGTATGACATTCCCTTGTATATTTAGAGAGAGAGAGAGAGAGAGAGAGAGAGAGAGAGAGAGAGAGAGAGAGAGAGAGAGAGAGAGCGAGAGAGAGAGAGGGAGAGAGAGAGAGAGAGAGAGAGAGAGAGAGAGAGAGAGAGAGAGAGATGCACGCTCAAGCGCGTTTGTCCTTCGTGGCGCCTCGCCCTTTTGGGTCTTTTTCGTCCTTCATTTATCGGAGCCTTGCACGCAACGTTTAGGTGCATGTCGCCACCAACTGTAACATGAGTGTATAACACTCTTGTTACACTTAGTGTGTTCTCACACTCCATTTCAGCCTCTCTCCAACTTGAACTTTCCACAGTGCATAAGCATGGTCCACGTTTTCTTTAACACCAAGACTCTCACCCTTGTCAGAATCCCTCTCTCAAGTGCATACACTTTATCACTCAGTCTCGTGTTTTAAATCTGTTGTTATTTACTGTGGTTTGTGTTTGACAAGCTAAAAATTGTAAAAATCAAACAATGCAAAATCGAAACGTAATATTTTCACGACATAAAGACAGTACACCCCCTTTTGCTGAAAAAAATGTTTTTATCAAGTTGCTAGGTTGGAGGAAAATGCTTTGGGGGTGGGGGTGAAGTCGGAAACATTACAGGTAGTCACACAATAGACATGCCACTGTCATTTCTGATTTGGAATGAGAGAAACAAGCTTATGCGATGTGTCTGTGTTAATATGAAAGCCACTCGTAGTCCACCTGAGGTGTGCGTTTGTGTGCGCATGCAGGGGTTCCGACATCTACCGTTGTGAATCGGTACTGCGCATCGTAGGTAGCTATTGCAGTTTTTCTCAGCCGCTTTGCTGCATTTCTAACATCAAAATGGAATTTTGCAGAACACATTATGCATTTCTCAAAGCAACTCATGCAAATAGCAGAACATCATGGTTCACCTGCAAGAGTTATTTTCTTTTTCAAAATTCTTGTGTCATTGAGGGATGTCAGTGCATGAAGATCAACAAGTGTTTGTGTCATTGTGTATGGATCAGGATGTTCTGATGGAATGTATGCCTGCCTGCCTGTCTTTCTTTATGGAGTCGAACCAAACTTTCGCGTTGCTAAATGTATGAAAATGACATCCAGTCACCACCAAAATGCCTATGCACTGTTGTCCAGTTCAACCTGTAAAAATAAATCAATAAATGATCAGCACAATATTTTTTTTTAATTTTGTGGCGGTGATAGCGGTTTTTGGTCATCGGAGCTCGGATTTAATGTCAATAATTCCCAAATATTGTGCAAATCGCTTTTATATTTCCACAGGTTGAACTGGACAAGAGTAGAAATGTGCATATGAATTTTGGTCACGATTGGTCACCATCTCAAACACACAATGACGAGTGAACATGACAGGAGGAAACAATGCTTGCTTCCCTTTTATGTCTGCCTGCAATGCATTGTGGGAGATGTTGGAAAAGGGCAAATCCCTCAAACAATTTACTGTCAAATCCTGTACCTGTTGCCTTTTGACAAGATGTGGCAGTTAATTTTTCTGTAGTATTGCTATCGTCACAATAATAAAAGACTGACAATTTACACCAACAGATATAATTTGCTCTGACCTGAGTCAAATCAAATGCCAAAAAAGAAGATGCTATATGTATGACAGGGTAATCCTAACAATATAACTGCTGTTATTTAAAATGTCAATTTAATGTAAATTTTACATAAATGCATTGACTGTGTTGTTTATACTTGACTTCAAACACAAATGTTAAAATAATATTTGGTGGGAGATGGGAATTTGAAATATTTTAATTGTGTGTGATTTATTGTTTATACATTTCTATGAGGGATTTTCAATGGATTTTTAGTGGGTTTTGTTGTTTTTTTCCACACAAACACACGCAAATGGTGGGGAAACACGAAACGTTCTGCAAAAATACTAAGTTTCCAGCCATATATTTTTGCTTGAAAAAATGTTTGTGTTGGACTTTTTTCCCCCAGTCAGAATTTGGGATCAGAGGGCTGAATCCATGTGCTTGTTCCCACTCTCCGTGACTCATGAAGTGAAAATATCCTCCATGACCGTGTACGAATGCACGGTTTGATAGGTCCAATATTTTTTCATTTTCAGCTTTTGTGCACACGTGCATTTTTTGTCAGAATCCAACACAATCTTTCATAGGTGAGGTCCTATGACACCGGTGTCTGTTGACCATAATCTTCTGAGAGAATCTGTCTCCACACACTGAGCAGGCAAAAGGTTTCTCGCTACTGTGCATCGTTCTTGTGTGTTGAGTCAAATTACTTCTTTGAGAGAATCTTTTATCACAAACTGAGCAAGCAAAAGGTTTCTCACCGGAGTGGGTTCTTGCGTGACTTATTAAGTATCCTTTGCAAGAGAATTTTTGACCACAAACAGAACAGGCAAAGAGTTTCTCTTCCAAGTGTATATGTGTGTGAATGTTCAAGTTTCCCTTCTGAGTGAATCTTTGACTACAAACTGTGCAGGCAAAAGGTTTGTCACCAGTGTGTGTCCTTGAATGCCTTTTTAAGGTCACGTTCCGAGAGAACCTTTGACTACAAAGTGAACAGGCAAAAGGTTTCTCTCCAGTGTGTATTCTTATGTGTGAAGTTAAGCTTCCCTTCAAAGTGAATCTTTGGCCACAAACTGAACAGACAAAAGGTTTCTCCCCAGTGTGGGTTCTGGCGTGACGTTTTATGGTTGCCTTCTGAGAGAATCTTTGGCCACAAACTGAGCAGGCAAAAGGTTTTTCGCCAGTGTGGGTTTTGGTGTGTCTTTTTAAATTACGCGTTTGTGAGAATCTTTGACCACAAACTGAGCAGGCAAAAGGCTTCTCTCCGGTGTGTGTTGTCATGTGTTGTTTCAAACGGCTCTTAAAAGTAAAAGTTTTCCCACACTGAGAACATTTCCAGTCTTTGTTGTCCGTGTGATATGTCATATCACCTTCAGGTTCATTGTCAGGAAAATTATCATCATTTTCAGCATCACTTTCAGATACTGGTGGGAGCAGGCTGTGTGCTTGTGATCCTTCACATCCGTCTGCATCACCTTCTGCGGACATTTGTTGACTTGAATTGCTGCTTGGAGGCGCCACCCCTTTGCGAGCTTCACTTTGACCTTCATCTTCGCTCTTCAAAATCACACCTGTTGCATGCAGTTTGCAGATTTCACTCTCCTGCTTTTCCTCTTTAATATCATGGGCCTGTTCTTCCTCTTTCATATAAGGGTGCTCTGACTCGTCTTCCTCTTTTTTAAGATAAGGGTTTTTCTGCTCCTCTTCCTCTTTTAATTGAGGGACCTTTTCATCCTCCTCTTCCTCTTTCACGCCAGGTTGCTCTGGGTACTGCCATGCAGGACCAACATCCTCACTGATGTCTGCAAGACCCAAGAAGACAAACACATGCGTTATTCTGGTTTAGATTTATAATGAAGCTTCACAGGAGAGCCAGATGAGTTACTGCTTATTGTTTAGTATGAGCAAATTCAAGTACTGATGCATTTTCGGGGGAGCCTATCCTTTATGTCCTGTATTATAACATTAAATTGATCTGATCGTGAGGCTCTCCGGTGGAATAGACAGGCCTGGGGGAAACATGGAATAACACCTTGAACATCAACTAGCTTCTAACCGGGATGGGAATGACTGCTTAGGGTCCCAGCTATGCGTCGAATAGCATCCACTGCCTTGCGGGTGGCTTAGAATATCCCATGGCGAAGTGAGTCAACCTCAAAAAGAAAATCCATCGAGGTAGCTCCCTAAGGCAGTCTGGTCCCTATTTTCAAACCCTGTTCGAACATTTTAACGCGTTTTTTGGGACCCATACACTAAATGTGCTCAGAGCTGTATGGCAATGAAAACCTTGCCTAAACAAAAGCCCTTGACCAGATTGACAGCCTGTCTGTCATTCCTGAACTGGATGTCACTGCCACCAATTGAGAATTTTCTAATGCCACCAAAGGCATCTCCTTGGGAAAAGCACCAGGTAAGGTTGGCATCACAGCTGAGGTTTTTCATCGTGGCAGGGAGCAGAGCAGTTCAGGTCTCTCCGCCAACTCCTGTGCAAGTGCTAGGAGGAGGGAGCTGTTCTACAAGAGAGAGACTGCAATCACAACCATATACGAGAACAAGGGGAGCAATTGCTGCAACTCTCTCTAAAAGCTAAAAGCTCTCCTCTGCCTTGCTGGCAAGCTGTTCATCTTCTCCTTCCCCAATAACATGCACGGTATGGTCAAATTTGACGGCGATATATCTGATGCTTTCAACATTGGGAGCGGCATCACACAGGGCTCTGTCTTGACCGCACCAATTTTGGGGGGATTTTTTTCCCCTGCTGCTCTCTAGCATGCTTTCAAAATTTCAAACGATGACATCCTGCTCTGGTCCAGGAAGTGGATCGAGTTCAGTTCCTGATTGAAGCGGCAACGAAACTCAATAGAGGCAGATTGTGCTGCCATCCCATGGGCCACAGTGCCATCCTCCTCACCTCTTCCACCTCCCCCCTTCTCCAGTCCGCCCAACCTCGCCAGTCACAACAGATGCTCCTCGCTGTCCAATTAAAGTTACACTGTTGCAATTTTATGATCGTGCTCGCTTAGTGAGCCCAATTTTGTCGGTTATTATGCTCGCTGGTCTCTCAAGGCAGCAAATTGTGGTATCATTTAGATTTCATTTGCACAGCTGACTCCATTATTGAGGTGAAAAAAAAATACATGGCCTGATGACCCTCTGCAATATTGGGACGAGCAACATGCAGTAGGGTTATTTTCAGATTCTCTCTTTCTTTCTTTCTCTCAAAAAAAGAAAGAAACAGACTGAGCCCAAAAACTGTGAAAAAACTTCTGTTTTTGAAGCAAAATGAATAAGATTTTTTTTTTTTTATCCTTCGACAAAACAGACTCAATTACTGCATTTTCCTCCACATTTTCCAAGTCAATTTCATGTCAGAATGAATGTAATCCTAATCAAAATTTTGCACAAAACCTCTTCCTTGCATGCCGGTGATGTCCACTTGGTGGTGCCAGAGGGGATTGAACCACATTTAAAGCTTCGACGCATGAGTAAAACCAATTGCATGGAAAGCTTCAAGGAGCTTCATCTCACCATCACTAAAACTCTAGAGAATCCAGTGTTCCCTCACTTTTCGCAGGTCATAAATTCCAATCACCCCTGCAATCAAAGAATTTACGCAATATAGGGGTTCACTTTTTTTTTAATTACGTTCCGAACCCCCAACACACATACACAAACGGTTCCTACCCCTTTAAATACAAACGTAACTTTTAAAATGCAAACCAAAGAATGAATACCAAACTGGAAGCTGTCAGCTGAGCATGCTCTGCCCGATCACGAGCAAACGAGGATGATATAACGTTGGCTTATAACTATGTTAAAAGTTTTTATTTTGATCCTAAAATGGCTGAGCGTAACCAGAATCCTGCATCACATTGTAGCCAAAGGTACAATTCTGCTGGTTTAATGTGCCATCTACATCCTTGCTGTTGTTTCGCAAGGCAAAATTTTGTGGCCATTGCTGCTGCTTCTTTACTCCATCGTTTTCTTCTGCGCGGCAATTTGAATATCCCGATTTAAATGGTGACGCGCGGACTGGCGCCATTTCCACTTGTTACTTTGTATTGTCAATAAAACACCTGATACTGATGTCACTCACCACTGGAATGAAGCAGTTGGCTTCCGCTACAGGCTCCAAAGGTGTTCTGCTCCGCTGCGTCTAAGTTTCGCCGTGATTGTTTACCACTCTTTGTGTATTCTCGCGACGGATGGGAAGATCGATACCAAAATAATTTTTCAATCCAGAGTGCTATATTTTAAGTATCGAGCCTTAAGATAAATTATCAATGTCTGGAATTCATCTATTTTGTGAATCTCTATTTTTTAGTGTATATTTTTCTGCATACAAACAATTTTTTCCGACCCATAAGCACCAGCGTCTCCTCACGCCCATTCTTACGTCCCAAACCCACGCCAACCATGCTCTTCCTCTCCCCTTCCCCAACATAAACATGGAAGCATGCCGGTACACTCGACAATGGCAGCTTCCCATAGAGAGACAGACTGTGAACGGCAAAACACACTTTGCGATGAGAAACATATATTTACCTATCGCTAGCTTTAATTTTTTTATTACATTGATTTAGCTATTTGACACCACGCCATATAACACAATGTGGCTTGAACTGACTGCGATGATATGCCGCTCGCGCCGCGCTTGAAATTAAATGAAGACATTAAGGAAATGCTTTGAAGATCTTTGCTGTTTACGTTCACCTCAAACACTTTGAGATCGGAACTGGGACAATTGGAGTGAAAAAAATCCACCTTCCCACCTTCCTCGAATGAAGCACAAGCAAAGCAATGCTGCTGCTAGTAGATAACTAATATGTCATCTTACAAATAAAGAAGTTTGCACTGTTGAATATTCTTTGTAATAGAATGCTATAGATTTTATTGGTGAAAAACAACATGCATCCCCTCAACCTCCTTGCAAAAAAAGAAAAAAAAAGTAAAACAACCACTGTACTGCCTCTATTTTATCATACTGAAGCACTTAACTGTGAGTCTCCATTGGCTTTACTAATTTATATTTTTAAACATGATGACAACTCAGCCCTCATTCCTGCCAGCGCTAATCCAATGGCACAGCCCCAATTAGTAAACTACTTATAGCAAAGACACCAAAGTTGGTATTTACTGTAAAACTAAACACACAACAAAAGTAATTTCATGTGTTGCATATTTAAACACAACGGATGCTTTGTTTTGAAAACTTCAGTAGCGCTAATGTTAAAGTCAATGGTGAAAGCTGTACAAATGTTAATGCTAAGGACAGACATTTCTCTCAGTCTTTCTGACAGATTTCTCCTGGCCAGTTAAGTACAACAGTATAGTATGTGTCAAACTCAAGGTCCGCGAGCCAGATCCGACCCGCCACTTTATGTGGCCAATCTGTATCGACCTCGTGATTCTCACCACAATACCAAAATTGCAAATGGTTTTCGTTTTTAAAATGCCATCTACCGTTATTTTGCAGGGAATCGCGAGAAAAATACAAGTACAAATACTGCGGCGGTTAAAATGTGCCAGCTCATGGCGAAGTGCGTCGAGCAGTCGCTCCCAAGGTGCTGCTTTATTGGTTACATCATGGATTCAACCAATAGGAGCCGTCTACGGCAAAATAACGCTCGACGGAGAGTTGCAGGTAGCGGCAAAATAACATACCTGTCAACTCATACGGTTTAGCCATAGTTCATACGGATTTTGTGGTGAATGTTACATATATGGCCGAATCGCACAAATCATACGGATTCTGAAAATTTCCGTTTTTTTTTTTTCACCTAACAGGTAGTTCCGTTTGCTTTTGCCCAGAATGGTGCTAGTCTACTCGAATGCTTTCATTTCCGGTAACTTTCCAGTAAATCACGTGGGTTTTTTTCTGCCGTTATTTTGACATATAAAATGCTTTGGTATGTTATAAGGATTTTTTGCTCTTTATAAGGATTTTTTTGGTAGTTTATACAGGTTGGCGCTCTGAAAAGTTGACCGGTATGAAATAACCAATGCCCTTTTCAAACCACTGGACAATGTGGCCCGTGACAAAAATGAGTCTGACGGTCCTTGTATAATGAATGCTGAAATTATGGCTTTTAGTTTTGGTGGTGTGCCATCCAAAGGTTTTATGTGGCCTCATCTGGCTACCCTTATTTAAGGAAAATCTGGAGGTGCCACTGAGACACACGGCATATGAATACTGTTAAAAACAAACTAAACAAACTGAAAGCACATCCTGACCAAAGTGAGCGTAAGTGACCAAACCTGCTTCGTGTTGAACAATTCCTGGCTGCATTTTGACAACGGTGTCCAGTAGTTGACGTGGTCGATCGTTCTCCACTTATAGGCCACAAAGTTTCACTCGTATTCTGCACTTGTTGCGCAAATTTTCACACGACAATCATGTCTCGTGTCCACTGAGCAAAGTGGTGATTTCAAACGCGTCCTTGTTAGCCTTTAGCAAGCTAAGCTAATCAAGGCCGAGAAGCTCCAACGCGCACCGAGACGATTTTAACAAGACTCGAATGTTTAACGTAAGATGCTTAGTCCATAAAAGCAACGACAGACGCCTTGTGTTGAGGCTTGAGTATCTTTCAGACAAATTCAAGAAAATGCAGTGCTACGCGTGGAAGCGCGTCGTGGTAGTGCGGTCAAGACAGCCTTCACTAGCAAAATTTAAATCCAGTGAGCCGCTACTGAGGTTGTGAAGACTGTGCTAGTGATGTGTCGTTCGCGAACGAACCGGCTCTTAGAGACGGCTCTTTGAAGTGAACGACGGGAGCCGGCTCCTAATTGGGAGCCGCTCCAAATAGGAGCCGACTTTTTTTTCTCTCCCCCCCCCCCCATCCCCACCCAAGAGGGAGGGGAGGTTTACACTCACACTGCAGCGTCGAGAAGGGGGAGGAGTTAGAGATACACACACAGCAGCACACTGTGAGCAGCACACGAACAGGAGAGACAGGGAGACGAGAGAAAGCTCGATAGCGCTACAGAGAAAAAAACAACACGGTGGAAAGTGGAAAGGTGAGAAAATGGATAGGAAAAGCAGTGAAATTTGGACTCATTTGTTTGTTTGTTTGTTTGTTTATTGAACATATATAAAACATACAATAACAGATGACAAAATGCAAACAAAAATTATGAAAGGAAAATAAAAGTAAGTAATACAAACATCATCACAGTTATATGTTCAAAGGAGTAGGGAGAAGTATACAACTTATCTAGTCCTACCCCTTGTTGTGCAATAATGTATATTGATCATTTCCAATACCAAAGAAAAGGAAGAAATCTACATTTCATCAAATACTTTTACCCTTTGTGTACTATACTTATCGATTGACACACCTTTCGGTTTGTATATATATATTGTTCTTTCTACTTTTTATATCAAATGACTCATATTCATTATATATACTGCATTTCTTGAATACATTCAATAAGTTGTTCAAAATCCAGAACAAGAACAAACCACAGTATTACTATATTTTATAAGGACCAGAATGTAAAATTTATCTTCTTAACTTTGTTTTATGTAGTTTTTTTTGTACTAATCTTTTAAATTTGTTTTTGAACTCGTCCAACGATTTACTCATTTTCAGATCCATCTCAAGCTTATTCCACAGATTAACTCCTATTACTGATACACACCTTTGCTTGATGTTTGTTCTTGTTCTGGATTTTTTGTATTGATTAATACCTCTTAGATTATAACAACTATCTCTGATTTCAAAAAGCTTCTGGATATTTTGACAAAGGAGATTGTTATGTGCTTTATACATTAATTGGGCAATTTTGAAGTCAACCAGGTCATAGAATTTCATTGTATTTGATTTGATGAATAGTGGATTTGTGGGTTCGATATATTTAGACCAATTGATTATTCTGATTGCTTTTTTCTGTAGTTTTAAGACAGGGAGTGTGTTTGATTTACAGGCGTTACCCCATATTACCACACAGTAGGTCATATATGGGAGTAATAATGAG